TATATATATATATACATATACATACATACATACATACATACACACTATTGTATCATTACAATGTTTGGTTTTGGAAAAAGACCCGGACCAATGTTGGAGACCTGGTCTAATGTGGTCTACATGTGAAAAAACGGACTGAACCCCCCCCCATGCATTTTCACAAATGAATAACGTTTTCACACCTCTGAAACTGTGCGGAAGCTAACTTCAGCGTCGTAACGCTGACGTAACGTAACGTAAAGCAAATGCCTGTGACCTGCTGTATTCGGGTAAAGTTACTATGATACGCAGTAACTTTACTTTTACGTCCACCAACCTCAACCAGCGACATTAATGTTTTCCATCAGTATCGTTAGCCTGAACCTGTGAGTCTCAAGAACTGTCCTCAATGTCTTCACATTGCATTAACTTGGGCTCTGTTCACTAGCAACCATTCCTCTAAAATGCTCCACATACACTCAAATCATTGCGGAGACGTACAACAAATAGTGGGAAGTCTCGTGACAACTAACTATGACAGAAGTGCAAGTCTGAGCTAAGCTAGCTCAAGTTTCTATTAGCACGTCAGCAGGTGTGCTATTTAAATAAATGCTGCAAACGCAAAAACCTCTCACCTTTCCTTCTGCATCAAATGGTTCATTGTAATCTTCTTCTGCTCCGGAGCCGGAGGTGAGGGCTCCTGGGTCCCAGTCTGGGTACGGGTTTGGAAAGGATCGCTCCTCCATCTCTGCCTCTGTAGCCGAGATCAGCTTCAGCCGCTTGGACACGTTATCTCCCATCGCTACGGTGGCTCAGCAGGGATAAAAAAAAAAGAAAATCCTCAGGCACACTGTAATAGGGGAAATAAGAAAACGCGTTTGAGAAAATGACATATCAAACTAAACCACAACAAAGTGACGTGAATAAGTAACAGGACAATTGGGAAGTGGTTATGAAAATGGGTTTTGATGGGTTTAAAGTTTGTCGCAGAGGCAAAATTATATCTGCTCCTCATTATACAAACGAAAGACGGAAAAGCCTTTATAACTATATAAATAACTATTCCTGTTAGCTAGAGAATGGCTTAGCAGCAATATGCAAAAGTGTAGAATAGTCTATAGGCTACTTTCATTTTGAAGAGAATAGAATGCTGTATGGCCATATTATTTCAAAATGCTAATTTTGTCGTCTGATCGTTGTCGTTTCTGAGGATATTCACGTCTTTGTCAGGATCAAAAGCACAATATTTGTCATTTCAGGTTCCTTATTGTTATTTAACCAGTATAGGCTAAATGATTTGGGTTGTGGTTCACATATTCAGACTATAAAAACACACGGTGCTTATAGGAAATCCGAAAAAATAAAAAGTTTGTTCAGCTCAAACTTTTAAATATATTACTAACAAATGTAAAAATAGAAAATAAAAAACAGCTAAAGCCATTGCCCTTTATTGAGGCACAAAGTTTAACAATTGAATGTAAAAAAACATTGGCTGACGAATGTCACCTTGAGCTCAGCTTTCCACACAGGCCCCGTAATGGTTAATATATACAATAAAATAAATACCAAAATATTTTAATGCTGAATTTTTAAATCCCTTCTTTTGTTTTGCTGGCTTTGTCTATATAGAACAACATGTGAAGATAAGATGAGAAGAATGAAATGCCTCAATGGAAATACAGAACAATTGTTGCTGCACTGTGGCTGCTGGATCAGTAGATTCCTAAAAAAACACTGCAGGTAATGACAGGTGGGGCCAGAAGCGGGCTTACCAAGAAGCAATGTGATCAAGCAGGCTATCCGATCAGCAGTCTGTGTAGTCCCCCGTGGTCTCTCTTCACAGCTTGTTTATATGGATCCTGGTCGGGGGGGGGGTTGCGGCAGCCTCCAGCCTCCCGGCAGCGTCTCTCAGCATCTCAGTGTTCCGGCAGCTTCTCCTGTTCTCCGGGGGAATGGAGAAAAAAACAAAAAAAAGCGGACGCCGCAGTCAGTCAGAGCATGCGGGCTACAGGCTGCCATGTGTCGCCGCATCACCGTGTCTGTCTCTCGGGCTCTGCTGCACCTCTCTGTGCGCGCCGAGTGCTGCCGATACTGATCTCTCTCTCTCTCTCTCTCTCTATCTGTGATCTGCCCCGCTGTGGTCTGCACAGAGAGTTGCGGAGGCAGATCACGGCCCAGCCATAATCCACCACCATACCCGCCTGTACTAGCCGGTACCCGTTGGCACTTGGCGGATCCAGGTCCAGACTGATGACAGATGGTGTTGGTGTGTGATACTGCCGGGATTAGGCAATATTGCCCCCCCCCCCTCTTTTTGCTTTTTCCATCCCTCCTGCTTTCCCTTTCGGTCACTTTCTCAGGCTGCCTATTGCATATATATCCTGTCATTGTAATTTTGAGTTACAAAACGTTGGGGATCTACCTTTAGTTAAACATATTCAGAGATTAAAACTTGAGTCATATTCTACGTGATTCCCCAAAAAGATGTAATACTTTTTCATTTTTTAGAAAGGAACACATTATAGCTTCATCTCAATAATAATATTTCAAGAGCACTTTACATAAATGCTTTCCTGATTCGCTTCTTTCCAAGCAGGCTGACCACTACAACAACTACTGAGATCAGAGCACTAATGGCCTTGGATTTTATTCTATTTCCTATATGTCCACACTTGCCCTGACAATATCTCCAGAGCAGAGTCGCAGTAATCCAGTCGAATATACAACAGAACACCTAAAAAGCAGCAGCCTGCCCTCCAGTGAGGCTCTCAGTCTCTTGTCTGGTCTCCTCATGTAACCCCACTCTCCATCAGAGGAAATGGAACGAGCGCTAGATGAATATCCTAAACGAGTGGGACTTATATAAGTATGTATAACGCCTCCTGTTTGTTTGCATGTGGCTGATATTCATTAAGTCCGACATGCTTGAAAAGGGAGAGTTGAGTGGAGGTATTTGGTTAGTTGCAATCTGGAACCTCACCACTAGATGGCACTAAATCTCACGCACTGCTCCTTTAAGTAAGGGCGACTCAAGTGTTGGCACTTGGAAGCTCTTTCCTGATGTAAGTCTATGGGGAAAAGGTGTTTTTGGGACCTAATGACATCATGTGACGAACCCAGAAATCCAAATTCCAGTTTTTGCGATGATGTAAAATTTGTGTTGAAGCCTGGCACTTTTTCTGGAGTCTTGGTAACACAGAGGCTAAACTCTGTATGACGATCGAGCTGCATTGTGAGTATTGACCATAGACTGTATTTAAGAAGTGGACGTAATTATCGTGACGTCACCCGTTTGGTTTGTGGACTGCCGTTATGAAACCTCGAGTTCGGCATTTCTGCCGTCACCATCTTGGACATCTTTGCTTTTTTGCGACCAATGAACAGAAGTTACCATATTTAGAATGCGGAGGAGTGATGTAGAGACACCGTATATGGCTCTCACAGTAGCCCCGCCCTAAAGCATCCCCTGCTTTATGGTCTGTGTGACTCTAAATGGACCATAATGTACTAAATGAACATCATGCTGTATTGAAGAAGACTTGAAACTAGAGATTGAGACCATAAACTCATGTTTACAATGTTTACTGAGGTAATAAATCAAGAGAGAAGTAGAGTCATTTTCTCATAGACTTCTATACAACCAGAGGAGTCGCCCCCTGGTGGACACTAGAGAGAATGCAGGTTTAAGACACTTCTGCATCGGCTTTACACGACAGAACCGGAGGTTGCCAAGTAGGTAGCACAAGGCCTAATCTCCCACCAAACTGTAGGCTCTCGAGATGCATCATGGGTATTGACAGGGAGAAGGAACGTGAAAAGCCGAAATCCTCTGCTGCATTGAGATTATTTTTAATAATTCTTTTAAATAAACAGTGCATCGTGAGTCAGACAATGTTATAGGAGTGCAGTAATAAATCAGCGGAGTGCTGTTTTAAGGTCAGGGAACAATAAGCCCTTTTCACAGCAGCCATTTTGACATGTAATTGCAGGGTAAACACAGGTGATTAAAACAAATTAATTATGGCTATGTTCCATTTAGGTGGGCTGGGGCCCTGGTATTGGGCTGTAATGGTTTTGACACTAAATAGAATGGGACCTTTATCAGTTTTATAAATGACACCTGTGTCATAGTAGGAAAAGCACACTTACTGAGAACACTAACGATGTCTCCATTCCATTCAAGTGTCCCAGCGAGAGTGACAAGTGAGTCAGCATGTACAAAACCGGGACCCTGCGTAAAAACAGCTAAATTGATTTCATTATTTACCCGTGTGCTTACCCTGCCGTGAAAAAAAACTTATTGTGTTCCTTTGTTGAAAGAAACCAACGTCAACAGTCTCTAGAAAATGAAATGCAAACAGGAACTCCACGACTCTCCTAACTAATGCTGTCGTTTGTCTTGTGAGGACAGTCTCCAGGAGCCTGTGCTGGTATCTGACTCACATGTGCACACACTTCATGAGACCACAGCAGACGACTAAGTAGAACAGAAATGTAGGCTAATTTAGCCCAAGGAGGTTGATGAAGGGGACTATAGAGAGCGAGTCACGTCTTTGAAACATCTGCTGGTTGAGCAATTAACACGGTTCACTTGCTGAATTTATATAGCATTCACCACATCCTACTATAAACCGAGTGCTATACTGCCGCTTTATATATATCGCTTTATACTGTGTCCCCCCCTCGATCCAGTTGATGACAGCACAGGGGGCAGTAATGATGCTCAATCCTCTTTCTCCACCTCCCTTATCTCCAGCTGGAAGCACTTCAATCTACTTTCCCCCCTGCATGACACATTACACAGGTTAAAACCACCGTTCAATTGTTCCAGACACTCCACATCTGTGTTGTCTGAATTCAACACTATTCATAGTCAGAGCCTGGCCTAACTTGACAATGACTGAAAACAGGGTGAAACTGCTAGCATGAATGCTTCAGTAGCAACAGTAGGACGTTTAGAACGTATGGTGCAGTTATTGGGGCTATTTCTTGCTCAACAAAACCTCACCAATCCCACCAACTAACCTATTCGACATATTTGGAGATGTTATCAGGTTTAGAAGGCGAGCAGTTTTTCACCTGTGCTTCCAGTCCTTTTGTCAAACTAGACCAAACATATGGTGAGCATATCACTAGAAGCGGAGAATTATGATTTTAGTGCATTTCTTTCACTAATATGACTCATTTAGAGTGACATTTGTAAGACTACTGACAAAATTGTGACATGAGTTATTATCATTCGCTCTCTTCCAGTCTTGCTCCAGAGGGAAAGGAGATCCATTCTCATCCGTGCTCCTCTGCCACTGACGATACATTTGTCTTTCATTTCCATAAGAACACACAGCTCTTGCGAGGCGATGGCCAGAACTGCAGCCTCAGCTTTTTCTCTTGCTGAGTGTGCGAACATGAGATGATGCCTTACCTTAGTAATCTCAAATATTTCTCTTATTTCCCGGCTAGACGTGACATCTGGGAGCGATTGCTGCAGTAATAGCATGAGAAATGTTAATTTTGCTGTTCTTGTTTTCAGATCTAGCAGAACAATGATTTGCAGATCAGATGGATGTGCTGGTAATTTGAGAGAAACAACAACAACGCAGAATTACGGCAGAGCTTCAAATTGCTCATTACCACGCTTCACTGAAGGCTAATGCGTCAGCCTGGCTTGCCAAGCACAACTGTGCCAGTGAGCACTTCAAATAGCGACTCGGTAAAGCTGTTGCTTTTTAAAAAATTTGAAATTCACATGATTCATTTTCATGAGGCAAGGCAAGTTCATGTGTATAGCACCTATCAACAACAAAGTGCTTTACATAAGGCATAAAAGGGTAAAACATGACATTAAAAAGTATTAATTATTAGGATTTAAACAGAAGAACAGAGTTTCTGGTTTGTTCCACATATGTGATGCATAGAAACTCTATTTTTCTAATTATGCAACAAATTATATACACATGCACTATATGAACTACTTAAAGCAGCAACAACAAACTGATGTGTTTCATACAGAACACTGCTGTCTTTAGTACTTTCTAAACCTTTTTAATTTCCTCATACAGGCTTCAGTGAAAGATTGTTCCAGTACAGAGCAAAAGGTGATTGCAGGACTAATGACGGACAGGTGAAACTGATCAGGACGGGGCAGATAATTAAAAAAGAAAAACTCACAAAGACAGGAAGTAGAACCAGGCGGTAACCTCCGGTTCTACTGAGTGAAGCAGATGCAGAAGTGTCTTAAAACTTTAGTTTTCACTACTGACCAGCAGGGGGCGACTCCTCCGCTTGCTAAAATAAGTCAGATTGTTTGGAAGTCTATGAGAAAATGACTCTACTTCTTTCTTGATTTATTACCTCAGTAAACATTGTAAACATGAGTTTATGGTCTCAATTCTTCAATACAGCATGATGTTCATTTAGTAAATTGTGGTCTATTGCGAGTAAAATAGACAGGAATAGCAGGGTACTCTTTAGGGCGGGCTTACTGTGACTGTGATCTCTACTAGAGATGTGTACAGCGTCTCTACGTCACTCCTCCTCATTCCAAATATGGTAACTTCTGTTAATTTGTCGCGAAAAAAACAACATGGCAACAGTCGTAATCCAAGATGGCGACTGTGAAATCACCGAACTCGAGTCTTCATAACGGCAGTCCACAAACGCCACGATGACTATGTCCACTTCTTATAGTCAAACCAGTAAAAGCTGCCAAACATGACACACGAGGAGTGAACTTTCATAATGAAACAGGAAACAGACTAAAGAAAGTCAATGTATTGGTATGGTAAGTGGGAAATGGACTTGCTATTTATAGAACACCTTTCTAGTCCTCAAAGCAGTTAACACCAAGTAAATATTCACCCATTTACACACATTTATGACTGAGATTGCCATACAAGGTGCCTCCTGCCCATCAGGATCGATACTAATGCTCATTCACACACACACAAGCAGAACGATGGCGCAGACTTAAGGAGCAATTTTGGGGTTCAGACACCTCCATTGTTGCTAGCAGATTGATTGATGTAGATATGTCATGATATTACTGGTTGTAATCTATCTCCATTTTACCCTCACTCGTCAACAAGACCCTGAGATACTTGAAATGCCTCACTTGGGGCAGTGACTCACGGCCAACCAACTGGATGCAATCCACCAATTTCCAGCAGAGAACCATGACCTCAGACTTGGAGGTACTAACTGTAATCCTGACAGTTTCGCACTCGGCT